GTGGTTTTCTGTCTGTAGATTTGTGTGATCTGTTGGGGAGTGATGTTGTACAGTGTAGCGATCTTTTCAGACAGGTCCAGCAGTGTCAGCTCTTCCAGGTACAGAGCGTGGTAGACTGCAGAGGCAAGACAGACATACAATGATCACATCAGGTCAGAAGTGTTACTCTCTGCCAGTTTCTGTGAGGATTTCCTGATATTTTAGGATTTTGTCTCTGCCCGGTTTCATCTGCAAACATTTATTTTTGGACTAGTAGAACAGAGTGCATGACTCAATGTTCAAAATAACCCTTTTTTATCTCATACTGAGCCTCGGTGCAGCTCCTCAGTTGATGGACTGTCTGAAACAAGCATCTGTAGCTCCTCCTCTGTTCCTTCCTTTTATTTTCTCCTGATTGGCTGTGCCTTACAAACACAATATTTAAGAAAGAGAGTATGGCACATCCATGTGTGTTATTAATTGGACTCAGTCTTTTTCATGAGTTTTATTTTGTTTGTATTTTAAGGACTGACTCTAACATCTGCTTCAGGTCTTCTTCAGGTCCTCTGACTTGTTTGGTCCAGCTGCGGCTGCCATCTGTCTTAGTTTTGAATATTTAATTTAGGGCTTAATAAACCTGCAGTTGTGTTTGGTGTGTAGGAATTGCTTGTTTAAAACCATTCAGTCACACTACAGACAGAGGACTGAAAAAAAAAGGACAAAATGTGAGCAGTCAGAGCGAATTTTTGTTGCACACTTACTTTCTCCACAGCCTGGTTTGATGGAAGGTTGATTTCTGGCCTGCTGCTGACACACATAGATGGTAAGACGGGGCTGTACACACCTGAAAATGTGAGCAAAAGCTTGAATTGAATGTATTTCAAGGACCTGCAGCACTAAAGCTTAAGACGCAGTCTGCTCAAGAGGCCGATATCATAAATTTACTGTATTGGAGAAACAATGGATCATATCAATGTCCAAATCCATCTTTGTATATAATGTATGGTTGAGAGAAGAGACTAGACTTTAGGAAGATCCCAAAGGACCAGAATTGTGTGGACTTCATGTGACCTGACTTGTGTTAAGTCAAAGGAGTCGCTCCCTTCTGGCTATTAGAATGAATGCAGGTTTGAGGCACTTCAGCTGGCCTCACATCCAGAAACAGAAGCCATGCCTATTTTGTATATTCCATGATCCTGTGTCTGTAGATGCACCACCCAGTAAATCATGCAAATGGGTCTGGGTGTGGCTGGGCAGTGTAATGTAATGGCTCACCTTCCCTTCATTGTGTTAAAGAGGCGGATGCCGTCTGCTGGACCACAGATCTGGATCAGATCCTCCCTGGTCATCCTCAGGAGATCAGCACCTGCAACAACAGCAGAAATCTGGTTCTGCTTGCTGCCCTGATCTGCAGCAGATCTGATCTGACGCTGCGATAGACGAACACATCGACACTAATCAGTTCTTCCTCAGTTTGTCTTTCCTGCACTGCATGCCTGCGCTTTCTGACAAAAGTTCCAAGACTAAAGTGTGTGGTGGGTTTTTCACACGCGGTACCTGAGAAGCTGGTGAAGAGCCTTGAGAAAGGCGAGAACCTGTGACGGTGCAGCCACTGCTGAGTGTCCTGCGGCGAGGACGACGGCAGAAGGTGCTACATGTCAAAAAGAAGAAGAGCCCTTGAAATGAGTATAGCTGCACAGCATCCACTGTCTCCAAATAATGGCCTAAAAGGAATAAGAGAGCAACATTAACACTTTCACACTGCACCGGTCTCTGTTACTTACATCAGAGCAGCCGGGCATGAACAGCTCCCCCTGCTGGTTTGGAGAACAGTTGCTAGAGAAACGCACACATGAGGAGGAAAGAACACATTGGGATAATTGGTTGAGTATTTTCTTCTAACTGCCCTGAGACACATCTGTCTGCTCTCTATATGCTATTAGAAATTCTCTGTTTTGCATCTGCTAATAGCTGCAGAAGTTTGTGCTTGTGAAAGTACTCTCATAGAGTGTAAAGCACAATCACACCAGAGAAACATTTTCAAATTTTCGACCCGTAATTGAAACAAAACACAGTTCCCCTGCAGACCTTGACTGAAGAGATGTGTTTTATGTCGGTGGAAACCACCAAACATTAATTATTAAAGTGTGGTGTGAATGCTTACTCACCCCTCAGTGAAAGTGCAGGAGGTTGGTGAGCTGTGGTAAATTGGTGATGGTGTGCTGCTGGTGCTGTGGCTGGTTAGATTTAAGGCATCGGGCCACGGCGAGCACTGCAAACAGAGAAGAAGAGAGAAAGAGAAGACGATGTGCAATGAAGTGGAAAGCTTTTCACAAAGATTAAAGGGTTCAAAATCACATTCAAAGTGCAGCGAGTGATCACAGATGTGTGTAAACCTATGGTCTACATAGTAACAACTTTAGATAGTTCATCTCCTTTAGCTCACTAGTTTGGTTTCATTCCATTAATGTGAGATTTAGAGGCGTTAGAGGAGGCAGTGCCATTCACCAAAATTTCAGTTATTTTAGATGACAGATGTAAAGACCCTACAATAACAGAGAGCTCTAACCTCACATGGCCTCAGCTGAACATCATGCAGACTTTGTACCAGACACGCGCCAGGATAAAGTCTGTTAATGTCTCATCGGGCTGACATTTGTGTCGTAATATACAGCTTCACAGGTTGTCTAGTACAGAGCTCTGAAGAAAACTTTATTCTGAAAAAAATCCAGGTAACTTTAATCGATTTCAGCAAACTCCAGAGCTGAAAGACAAAGCTACAGCAAACCTGCAGTTCCTCTAATGTCCACCAGAGGGTCCAGCAGTGAGTCAGTTCCAATGGTCTCCAATATTAAAGGAATTTTAGCCTGACACAAAAACTGTTTTGGTCTCTATAGTTAATTTATCCCCTCATAACATCTGTATATGTTTGTAACAAAATAGGCTTTTAATTTGATATATACTTAAAGCTTGTATTATTATGGGCGTGGCCTCTTTGACTGACAGGAGGATGGTGGCTGTAGCTGCTAGCTGTCTGCTAGGCTTCACCGCAGATAGAGGCGCTGCTGGAGCCTTTGGAAGCATTTTTAATGCGATTATTTGACCAATAATGTGGCTGCTGTGCGGTTAACTGTACTAACAGATCGTCCAAGAAGTCTAAACTCCTGATTAGGTGAAATTTTAGGATTTTATTTAACCAATTTAGCACTAGTTAGCAAGTATCTATGTCACACTTAGCAAACACTTTTCATTTTCTTCCTATAAAGACTTCCTGTGTTATAAATGGTTTGTAATGGTAAGTATTGCTACAGTGTCGTGTGTGATATTTGTAATGAACATGACCAGTACAATGGTTTCCTCCAGGTGAATAACAAACTAGCACTGACAAAGCCTCAGTCACTGACAGCAGCAAAGAAAGAAAACTTTTAAAACAAACAATGCAACAGGCAAAGTGACATATTAACAAACAGTAACGTAATAGTGGTTTACATGGTTTGGTGAGCAAAGAAGCAAAACGAAAAGGAGGGGGGAAATATTCAGATCTGATCAAATTCCAGAAACATCCAAGTAACCCAAGAATTTACAGCTGGGCTCAATAAAGTCAAAGCAGAAGGCAAACAAAGGGTCCTCTCAGGCCTCACCTCTTTCAGCAGGGTGGTGTCATGGGATGGCTGATACTTTTCTCTATCTTGAGGGGTCTTTTTATCAATCTTTTCCCGATCTGTCTTCAGTTTGCGATCAGCTCCTTTAGGCTTAAAAAAAACAAAAA